AGAAAGGACTGTACCACTTGATACCACAGGTGTGTGAGATGGTCACATTTTTATGCTCTCCATCAAATAAGAAATTAGCACATCAAGGTTATAGCCTCGCCCTTCACGTATTGTGCTAGTTTCCCACTCTGAGGGAATTCGTAATTAGGGGGATTTTGAGAAATGCAGCCCCTTACAATCTGAAGTGACACATTTCATTCTACCATCTCAGAACTCTGCCCACCTCAGTGTTCCCTCATTCTGCTGCATAAGTAGACCAGGCCTTGCTCAGAGAAGTCTTAACTGTGGCTTGAAGCTGACAGTGCAAACCCTCCTCCAACTATGTGTGCAGTGCTGTCCTATTACTGTGAAGATAGATCAAGATGGGTAGTCTTCAGGGCTATTTTTGGGCAGGAACGCACAGGAACGGAATTCCAGCTGGCTCCTGAGTTGGCCACACCCAGCAATTAGCATAATAGGCCACAACCAACAGCAGAAACTGATTAGGATTGGCTACATTTAGGGGTGTGTGGCCTAAAATGCAAAGGAGTTCCTGCTCCAAAAAAAGGCCCTGGGTTTTGACAACAAACAAGGTAAACAGAATAAGAAGCAAAAGGTTGGTGTGGCTGGATGACCACACTTCTGGTAACATGTGGGGTGCGGCCTAATATGCTAATGAGTGGTGTTGTCAGGGGTGTGGCCTAATATGTTAATGAGTTTCTGCTATTGGGTGTGGCCTATTATGCTAATGAGTTCCTGCTGGGCTTTTTCTACAAAAAAAGCCCTGGTAGTCGTGTTAGTCTGTCTGTAGCCGTAGAAAAGAGCAAGAGTCCAGAAGTACCTTAAAGACTCTGAAGAAGTGAGCAGTGACTCATGAAAGCTCCTATCCTGCCACAAATTTTGTTGGTCTTTAAGGTGCTACACTGGACTCTTGCTCTCTTCTGCTGGTATTACTGTGGAGTTAAAGAGGACATTTCAATGGAAGCATTTATAACATTAAAGCCTAAACCTACAACTACCAGATACTGGGGATAGAACAAGGTATTGATATCCCTGTCATAGTACCTACAACGTACCTCCCCGGGGCATGTTTAATGGCTGCGGTCTGTAGACAAGTTATTCAGCAGCTGGACCTTGGGTATGATCCAGCACAGTTGCTGTTACGCACTTTTTGATTCTATTCAAGTCGGGAAATTCCTAAAAGAGTTTTAAGGGAGAAGTTCTCAAGTGGAGGTTCATTTTTGTCTAGGAGCAAGCCCAAGTATTAACAAATCATGTGTGCGGTAGCCATCTATCATATCCTCTGCAGCATAGAGGTAATGGAGTGAACATTTCCATGATTCTTCCACTTGACCCTGAAATGTATCTGCACTTTTCTTTGCTGCGGAGCCTGTATTTTTGTTGGAACGAATGCAGACACCAACTGTTCCTCCTTTGAGGTCAGGATGGTGGTGGTGGGGGCCAATATCCGACTCGTTTGATTGCCTTTCAGGGGTTTAAAATTAAAGTGGGTAGGATTTGCCAAAATTGAGGGATGATACTGGGTTCCCCTGCCCCCTTCTTTTCCTGGCATGAGGGAAAGATGAACATCAGTCTGCCTGCAGCTGGCACCTATTCCAGCCTGCCCTTGCAGAGAGCTTTGCCAGCTCCAGAAATATGGAGGACTGACGGGAATACAAGACAAGAGGGGTTGGAGGTCACAAACCATTCTGGATGATGCCCAGCCTGTCAACTCTGTCGTGCTGTGCTTGTGCGCTTTCTAAGGACACCTGTTTGGATGCTGTTAAAGATGTGATGCCAGTCTAAATTGGATATTTGATGTGATTAAGCAAGGCAACACTTGTCTTCCACTGTTTGAGAGCCAGTTTGGTGTAGTGGTTAGGAGCGCCGACTCTAATCTGGGAGGACCAGGTTTGAGTCCCCACTCCTCCACATGCAGCTGCTGGTGTGACCTTGGGTCAGTCACAAGTTCTCTTGGAGCTGTTCTCTCAGGACCAGTCCTCGAAAGAGCTCTCTCAGCCCCACCTACCTCACAGGGTGTCTGTTGTGGGGAGGGGAAGGGAAAAGAGATTGTAAGCTTCTCTGAGACTCCTTCAGGTAGTATAAATCCAATCTCTTCTTCTCTGTTTGGGGGTTTGCATTTAATGGGTATTCAGATGTGCTGTATGCGAATGTGATTTGTTCATATGAATTAAAAGTTAGTGATCTCTCATATGAACACATGAAACCACCTTATCTCCCTTATAAATAAAAGCCGAATGGTGGTGGCACTTCTCTAGAACATTCCACACGCTCCAAAATCAGTTTGCTCTCTGATCTGTCATTCAGAGGGTCTCCCTGTCCACTGGCTGCTTTGCCTGAGTCCTGCCTCCAACATTCTAAACATTTTGCTGTTCCTCTCCCCCCCATAGCCAGTCAGAACACAG